ATCGTTCACTGGGGAAGGTGAGACAGAAGGCATCACTGCACTTGTGGGTGTGCGCTGTGAACTGTCTTTCCACAGGCAGCTGGTGGAGCAGGGAGTGAAGACAATGCAGAACCCGACAGGCCTTTGATCTTACCCAGCAGGGCCTCTTCTTAGTTTCTTATCTCTCCAAACACAGGAGCTGACTCCTACGTTTGCAGTATTGTAACACACCCTCAAGAACAGCTGGGAGTTACTTTAGATTTGTATTCATACATGTTCTCATAAACTGAATAAGCTAAGTTTATTCTTGATACTTTTAAAATAATCCTCTGCCATCGAGTCAATTCTGATATGTAATTACCCTTTCCAGGGTTTGCTATGTATAAAAAAGTGATTTACCATTTCAGGCTGGCTCTTCTGCGCTGGAGTTTAATTTACAACCTTGCAAGCTGTCTGCAGTTCGAGTAGCTAGATATTTGAAAAGGACCATGGACTGTAAGTTAAGAATGGCGACTAGTAAAAACCTAAAGCTTGTAAGGTACACTGATGCAACCAGATCATAAGTCCACCAGTGCAGCGGACCCCAACCTTTTCGGGACCGCAGACTGGCTTAGTGCAGCAGACCCCAACCTTTTCGGGACCGCAGACCGGCTGAGCCTCAGAGAAAGGCGCCCCCCCATAGGTGTGCACGGGTGCACACGTGCTCTTGGGCGTATGCGCAAAGCAGTGGGGGAGTGCCCGCCCACCCGCCAGCACTGGTGTGAGCGCTCCCCCACTCCTTTGCACACCCATGCGCCCATGCACCCCTTTGCGCAGACACTCAGGCGCATGTGCGAAGTGGTGGGGCAGCATGCAGATGGGCATGCAGGTGCCTCTGTGCAGGGGCGAAGGAGTGGGGGAACGCTCACACTGGCACTGGCACATGCACACATGTGCAAAGCAGCTGTGGGGAGGGGAGTGCGTGCGGGGGGGTGTCTGTCTTTGCGGCCCGGTCCGGCTCAGGCCACAGACCAGCACTGGGCCACGGACTGGGGGTTGATGACCTCTGTACTACTGGTTTATTGTTCATGTATGATGAAGGTATTATTTCATAGGCTACTCACAAACAAGGTGCTGCAGCCTTTTCTTCCACAGAGTCAGAAATAATTGCTGCAGCTGAAAACTGATATGACTGGAGAAGCTGCTGAATGACTTTGGGATAAATGAAGAGATGCCAATGGAAGACAACCAGAGCTGCATAAAAGTGTGAAAATGAATGCACACACCAAATACATCAGACGCCACTTGATGACTGACCTGACCGAGAACGACATGAACAAGATTATTTAATCCTATGCAACAGAGATGACAGTGGACATCCTGACCAAGTCGCTTCTGAAAGACTGCTTCCAGAACTTGCATGGCAAGGTGAGACTTCAAGAGGGTGGCTGTGTGTGAGTTTGAGAAGGATTATTGGAGTTTTATTTACAACCTCACATGTTGTCTGTAAATTGAGTAACTGGGAGACAGTTTTCTGGGCTGGATAGTTATCTATCCAGCACTAACCAATCGCTCTTTCCAGTGTTTGAAATTCAAAGAGTCTCTCTGTTGAGTGTCCTGTTCCTCTCTTTCATTGATTGGTGGCAATTGTTTGTTGGTGTTTATCGGTTTGGTTGGTTGCCAGTATGTGTACAGTAAAGAAAGCAGTATACACAGTCTGTGATTTCAGACAACTGCAAGTAAAGAAACATTTTTATACTTTTGTTTACAAATATCTCAGAGTGAGTTATTGAGACTCAAAATACCAGTTAATGAGAAAATGAATGGACTTTGGGAAACTTGAAGCTATTCTCCTCTGTAGCTCTCTCTATCTCCACTGCTTAGCAAAAATAAAGACAATTTTACCAGAAATTCTAAATTCTGCAAACATTCTCTTGGGAAGCACAGGAGAGGTTCAAAGTCCCAACCTCTAGCTCCACAGTCAGATGCCTAACTTACTGAGTTTTTTAGCCAGCTTTTGTTGATCCTTTACCAGCCTTTAAATTCACTAGAATATTTCCATCCTGTAGTGACTAAACCTATTTATTTATTTGATTGATATATCTCCCCATTGATATATCTCCCCACTACTCTGGGCAGTTCACAGAATAAAACAAAACCCCCAGTCTCACCCCAGCTTGACTCCCATATATCAACACAGTCAATATGGGGACACTCCAACTTGAGCACAATTAGTTAAAAAAACAAACTTACATTTAAAAATGAATGAATGAATACTTTATTACAGTCAAAGGCATATAATTATAGTTTTGTAAAGTCAGTCAGGGTAATAAATTTCCATTAAAACATGATAAAACAACCCCTTCTTTCCAGTTAATAACATCATATATCCTCAACATAAGTATCAACAGTATTTGGGGATATGTTTTTAAAGCCTGCATTATATAGTTTTGTCCTAATTAGTTTCCTTAATACCAGGAGGGACGGAACCTGACACAACTTGGTTGGAAACCTGTTCCACAGAATAGGAATAAGCAGTATATATGTAAAACATGCATAATGATATAGTCCAGTGACTTGATGAGAGCTACTCAGAGTAATCTTTGACAGTGACATGACCCGTTTTAGACAGCCAGCAAAAGAAGACATCTCACTGTGAATCACCTACTTGATATGTATTGCCCACACACAGCATGAGTGAGCAAGAGAAGCTGGTGTAAGGTTGGTTACTCAATGACCCAGTTTAGTATTGTAGGCTCAGATGGACACTGAAGTGCAAGGAAAGGTTCTAACAAGTAAAATGCTTGCAGTCTGGCCAACACTAGTTCTCTGTGCTTTTAATGAAGCTGTTCATGTATGCATTGAAAGTGAAATACTTTACTAAAAGTATAACTCTTCAAGCAGTCTTTAAACATATTGACAAGTGCCTGGAGGTCTGTAAACTCCAGAATATAATAATTTTTAAATATGTAAACAAACAAAAACATACAGTTAGTTTCAGAATCCAAATTTCACAAAAACCCACCACAACACCTCTTTTCTGGAGAGATGGTGGCTGAAAACATATTAGCTACATGGAAGAAATAGGGGCGAGGGTCCTGGTGAATGGTAAATTTTAGCACAGAAGAGGAAAACAGAGGAGGCAAGGATGGCAGATGAGCCACTGCTTCAGGTAGTTGCTTGGATACCCTTCATTTGTGAGCGATTTACCCATGAGGCTCAGAATGTCTCATTGGAACAACACTATGTGAAAATGAAGGATCATTCCTAGGGGCATTTTGGAAGAAAAAAGATGGCTGTCACCAGCAGAGTAGCAGATTTAGTTTTGTTTGTAGCAGAGCTTTGAATAAGTACTCTTTCAGCCTACAACTCCCAGAAACCCTCAGCCCTGACCTTACTTGTGGGGTGCATCTGAGAGCTGTAGGCCAGGCAAGTAACTTTGCAAAAGCTCTGGGTGATTCTTTAAAAAGGATGGGGTGATGTGTAGCCACCAAACCCAAAAGTAACAGACCTTCACTTCCCTTTGAAACTATTATAAATCCTTCCTGCTATCATATGTTTGTGTGGTTCTGTGTCATGCAGAATGCTTCCAAATGATATTGGAAAAAGTTCCTTATTCAAGGAGCCACAACGTGTAAATGATAAAGCTGATTATCTGCTGAAATAGCGCAAATGCTGCTTCTCATTAAAACAGTGTTTGTGAATTTTCTCCTTTATTGACATTTCATTGCCAATAGCTATTTACTGCAATGCATGTACTACTTTTATAGTCCTGGGTACCATTCTAACTTATAGCAGTTGACACAAACAGGGTCATTTTCTCAGTGAGAAGGCAAATTTAGGCACATAACTTTATAGAGATACTTTTGATGTGAAAAGGCTGCCTGGCCTAAGAAGAGCCTTAGTAATTTGTGCAATCATGACTGTTACAGATACAGAATTCTGCTTCTCCATGTGGTGGCTGTATATCGGTAGGATTCTACTTTTCAACTTGCACTAATTAGAACTGAGTGAAAATGACTTTCCAAATTCTCTGTCCCATTTAAGGGTGGAAAATACTGTCAGTGGAGCATTGCTGTTTTATGTTGTCTCCTCCCCCCGGGTCTCTCTCTCTCTCTCTCTCTCTCTCTCTCTCTCTCTCTCTCTCACACACACACACACACACACACACACACACACACACACAAAGTTTTATGTTCTCTCCCTCCCCCCACGTCTCTCTCTCAAAAATGGTGACTGCTATCAAGCATTTAGGTGATGAACAGATGAGGCCTTCAGAATGTCTCTCTTGCCCACTAGAACAACAAACCCCTGTTCTCCCACCATGTTCCAAAAATGCACAAAAGAGGATTTCAAACATGTTGTATGGATTTACGATGGTTTCAAAGGCAGGTGAAAGTCTAGAATTTTTCATCCCATCCTTTTTAAAAGCTCTGGCCAGTGGAAAAAAATGGTGACTGCTACCAAGCATTTAGGTGATGAACACATGAGGCCTGTTGACCACTAGAACAACAAACTCCTGTTCTCCCACCATGTTCCAAAACTGCACAAAAGAGGATTTCAAACATGTTGTATAGTACTTAAGAGGTCCTTAAGTACTTACTATGCAACATGCTTGAAAGCCTACAAGAGTAGCCAATGACATGATATTATGGGAACTGTAATCCAGAACCACTGAAGAGCCAAAGATTTACCAACCCTGGTTTAAGAGGGGAAAAATGGTAGATGAGGTTCTGCTTGTGAAAAACAGATACTCAACTCATACAAAGGATCAAAGATAGAGCTGGGCCCTAGGTACTCAACAACTATATATGCCCAGGGCTACTATACATCACCAAGAACCCTTGCAAAAATGTGGTGCCTAATTACGTACACAAAAGTTTTTTCTCAGTTACTTAAAATGTGCAGAGGAATGAGGCAGCAGCTACCTGCAGAGCAAGCCAGGTCCAATAAAACTATCAATCCTGTTCCCTTCCACATGTTCACCAAGCAAGTGAGAGAAAAACATGCACACACACAAACAAACAAACTGGAATTCTTACCTGTACACTAGTAAAAGTAGTATACTGATAAGCTTTAACTACCAGGTAATTCGCTTCTATATCGATTATCCCCAGGATCATGTACTTCCACCATCTTCTTTTCAAGATTGCCAGTAGGTTTTCTTCTCCTGCATTGGGACAGAGACAGAGGAGAGGAGAAAGAAAACATTTTAAATGGATTAAAATCATATACACAGCAACCATTCATTATATTTCACAGAGGGCCCTATGTAAGATTACCAATCCTAAGGGGAGTGAGAAGATCCCCTGCTCCTTTGCCCATAGGCCAACCTTTTGCATACAGTACGTATAAATAAAATATTTTGACTACTATTGAAGTCAGTATTCTTGAATGACTTCCTCCAATATATCTGTAAACAATGTTTACAGGCTAGGGTACCATGTGTACAGCAAAAGAGTGGTACCAACTCCAAAGGAGAATGAGAACGAACGGAGTTGGGAAGGAGAGAGGCCCTGTTGAACTTGTGGCCCAGCCAACTTTCTGCTAAACTTTCATACCAAAAGGGGAACAGGATCACTGAGTCTCAGGTACAGCCTATGGTCCAAGCAGGTGTGACTCAGATTGTGGGCTATCATGCCTCCATTCTCCCCATGCCTTCTTTACATACTTGTGCTTTCTGTGGGGTCTGGTGTCCCCCTTATGCGAACTCATCTGCTCTGTCTACAGCAAAAGCATGTAGAACAATCTCCTATTGACAGGCTAAACTATGATTAGTGAACCTGAGGTGCAGAAGTTTTAACATCTTGTTTGTCTATCTATTTATGTGACTCTCTATCCTGCAACTTCTGTTGCTTTAAACTCTACAGTATAAGCTGTAATGCTTAGCAAACAATGCATAGACTCTGTGCTCACTACAATCTGGAGTCAATGAATCGTGGGAGGGTAGCACAGAGTGGTTACACTGAGAAGCCCTGGCTTAAATCTTGATGGTGTAAAATAGGCCAGTCTTTCCTATGCTGACTGGGATGATCGAGGTTGTAGTTCAGCCAGTCTGGAGTGTACCAGTTTGGGGGAGACAAGCCTATGCTATGTGAATGGCATGCTTACAGGTTCTTTCCACTCCATCAGGTGACATAATCAGACCATGTGTGTGCAGCTTGGACATGTGTAGGCTTTGGACAAAAGCCCATCAATATATGGATCTGGTGGCTGTTACCCCCTGCCCACTGCATTTGATTACCAAGATTTTTAGAATCAGAAGACGTAATGGATTGTTGTTTGGACTGCTTTGGTCTTTCAGCTTCCACCAAATTAAAACATAAGGACAGATAATAATAAATACATGAGCAGGGTGCACAATCACCAAAATGCTGGGTTAAAAACAGATTATAAAAAGATTAAAATGCACATATAATTAAAAAGTACGTCATTTCAATTAATTTTGAGGGCCTTCAGATAGTCTTTTCTTAACTTTTGGGCACCTGGTGCTTCTTCCCCTTTGGGCTAAAATCAAGTGTGAATTACCCCTAGATTATCATCTGCATAGGATTTACAGAATGCAAAGAGTCTCAAGTGAATTCAGACAACAGATGTCCAGAGGCATCACAACTGGGGGTGGGGGTATTTTAACTTTTACCCTAGAGTGGACCCTCCAGATGCTGGGGGACTGTTACCCTTGTGACACCTCAACACTGGCTATGCCAGCAAGGGCTGGCAAGAGTTGCAACATCAGACTACAGTTGCCCATTTTACTGTACACTATTATGAACCCGAGAGGCCTGATGTTGTGTTCCCTTAGAATCTGTCAAATGACTGAAGCGAAATATATTGGACTTGCTTTGAGGAGGGTTACATGTACACAATAGACTGCTCCCCCCCCCCTTCCGCCACACACACTCTTTTAGCCCAATTGGTAGCTCAGCTTCCAATAATCAATTTTGCCCAAACACTAAGTCATTCTTCAAGGCCCTTGCAAAGGAATACTGTCAATCTCACCATCGTCAGTTTCCACTTTGTGAAGTCTTCCTGTACAACAAGGGCTACTGATTAAGTCTACAGCTACCCAGAGGTTAAATGATCTTAATGCTAGGCCAAGGATTATTACTGTGCCCATTGCAAAAGAAAAGGAAAATGAAGTCAGCCATTTGGCATTAAGTTTCCTCCTTGGGTTTTTTTTTTTCTGTTTTCTCGGGAAGGATTTCATCAGGACTGTGGCATATCACACTAATGCAAATGAATGCTGTCAAACCACCAGGCCATCACCCAGGAACCCTGAGTTAAACTAAAAAGATTAAGAAGAATATTTACTATTGCTTGGTGCTTTGATTCACACAGCTTGCAGGCAAAAGGTTTGCCTCACCCCAAAACTGCAGAGTGAAGTGCACCCCCTGTGATTGGTCTACAGGTTCCCAGTGCTCCTCACATATGTAATCACCAGTAAAACAGTGCTTCAGAGCATGTTACCATAGTCTTTCAAGACTGAAGGATGCCTAACTAACTAGAGCAGCTCTACATCCCAGATTGGGGACTCAGGCTGAAGAAAAGTGCCCAAGGACCCTTCTTTCAGTTCATGGCTTAGGGGAAATTTGAATTTGGGACTTTCAAATAAGGGGAGGAAGCCAAGACTCCTTCTCAAGTAAGAGTGCCAAGTTTTAGGGTGCTGTCTGAAGCCTTAGGTTGTTGTTATGCTTTCCTGAGTAACTATATGGGGTAATAAACCTGAGGGCAAGTGATGTTGGAGGAGAAAGGCTGATTTTATTTTGTACGCTGGCTTTCATGCTTGGTAACCATCTTCCCTCTTTTCCTGCCTAGTGCTCACTGATGCAGCACTTGGGTATTTGTATGTGCATTTGTATGCTCATAAAACATGTTAAGGAGACACTGGAGAGAATGCAGATTCTTCGGCTCACTCTCTCACACAGACAGGCATACAAACACATACTGTACTGTCATAACTGGTACAGAAAAGGCCGCCTTTTAAGACATTAGAAGGATCCAGCCCTGTGACATGACAAGGATTGGGCCTTTGATTTCATGGAATGGAGAACTGCTGCCCTGGCAACCCTCTTTCCAAATGGGCCTTCTCGTTATTGGTCTCTTGGCTGGCAAGCAAGAGATATTTGTGCCACTAGCTTTTTGGTTTATTTTGTTTTAAATGTGTGTTTTTTAATATAATACTCTCTGGTTTTACAGTTTATTTCTTTGTACTACTTGTTTTAATGTTGTAAGTTACCTTGTAACCCTTTCTTGAGAGGCAAAATGCAGTTTATACATATTCTTATTCTATCAGTGCACACACATATGGGTATACAGTAAAACCCAAACCACTTTCCCCAGTTTATGGCAATGTACTCTACAATGTAATTTTAAGCAGTCTTGCTCTGGAAATAAAAGCCTAACACCCAGGGGAAATGCTCAGAGCTGTGAAAGCTCTAAGGAAGAGAAGCAGAAGAGGGGCCAGATTTTGCCTCCTCCCACCCACTCACGATCATGCTTCCAATAGAATCCCACCCTCTCATACATCAAAAGACAACCATGGATCATGATAGAGTCATAAAACTGTAGGACTGGAAGATTCTGGCCTGAGGAGGTGCTGATCTCCCTGCTAATTTTCATGCTAGCTGGGTCACACACTACTCAGGCTGTCACAGACACCACCCAGGCAACTTTTTACATTGTTTAATGCCTAAAATCTTAGGTGCCGATCCTTAGTGCCACTAGGGAAGGTGTTAAATTGCAGAAACCAACCACCCCAAACCCCTTTCCAAACATTTTGGGGCTGTTCTTTTTATACTGTTCCAGTCAAACTTTACTTCACCCCAAGCTGGTATCTTAGATCTAGGGAAATGACACCAAAAGTGCCCAGTATGGATGACTGTATGGTCTCTAATTAAATGGGTTCTTACGACAATATGCATTCATTCCCCAGATCTAGGGCATACACATAGATTGATCTAGTCTTTGTTTAACAGAAGAAGAAGAAGAAGAAGAAGAAGAAGAAGAAGAAGAAGAAGAAGAAGAAGAAGAAGAAGAAGAAGAAGAAGAAGAAGAAGAAGAAGAAGAATTATACTCTCGAAGGATTTCATGGCCAAATCCGATGGCTGTTGTATGTTTTTCGGGCGGTCTGGCCGTGTTCTGAAGGTTGTTCTTCAGGAGTCTGACTCCTGTCCTCTGAAAATGTCAGCCACAGAGACTGGCAAAACGTTAGGAAGAACAACCTTCAGAACACCGCCAAAGAGCCCGAAAAACCTATAACAACCATCAGAAGAAGAATTCTTCATTTACTACAGACTGCTATGGTTGTCTCTTTGCAACAAGAGTTTCCCCTTCATTGCCTTCGTAACATGCGGCTCTTGCACTGCAGTTGTTTCTTTTCAGCATTTCTAGACCACCCAACAAGTTTTCAAGGAAAGCTTACCACCTCACAGGAATGTGCGCGCGCGCACACACACACAGAAATGCAGCCAAGGCATGTTTCTCTGGTACCCTGGATAATTCCCACACTGGTCTTTCACAACTTGATTTCCATAAATGAAATGTGTGATTCAAATGCCATTTCCTCATTGGCTAATATGACCCTCCCTTTCATTTACCAACATGACAGGACACGTTTCCAATTAGCCATGTAACAGCTGCATGCTAATTATTTCTTGTTCTACTAATGACATTGGGATTGGGAAATTAAATACAGGCATTTGGGGCTTCCAGGGAGAAACAAAGAAATAGCAGGAGCCACACCAGTGATTACACTAAGTACTTTGCCCAGACAGCGTGCAGTGGGTAATTGGTATTGGAATGAGTCACTCTGTTTTGCTACATCATCATACAGCTCCATTAACCTTTTTGCTCTAAATGAGTAATGATGGCCATGAACACATTATTTTCTTGCACAGTGGAATATATTTGAAAAACACCACTTGGGAATGTTATGGGAACACACAGATCAACCTTGGGCATGGGTAGTAAATACCACAGGGTTCAATAGCTTTTGCACTCCAGGGAGGGTATTTATAGGACTTCTCATAGACAATGACTTTTCTTGGGTTTGCTTACATGATCATTATTAAAAGATGCATTTTCAAGCAGCACTTAGGGATGCAGCAAAGAGAAGCCTGTTAAAAGGGGTGTGCAGCCTCACCGCAAACCCCTTCCTAGTAGTTCCAAAAT